ATTAAAGGAATTTGGAAACTTAGGGAAACACCCAAAATACTACTGCCCGAGATATAGTACCAGTTACCACAACACACCGCTCCCGATACAACAATCACAACCTTATATAGGGACTAACATCCCCTCACTTAAAACGACCAACCAATACACCTGCAATCTCGGCAACGTTACTTACCACGAAGGTACAAGTCCACCCTTAACAAAATTATGCGCTATGCCCCCATAGGATACCATATTAAATACGTGTTACATCTAGTATTAATCGCACACTTTACATCCTCTCGAGTTCACCCGACAGTAGACCAAAATCTATACCACGCACAAAATTTTAAATGGGTAATACCCATGAAATTCCACATACTCGGCATGTAAAACAGTTCTCGCTCCAATATTGCCTTGGCTAGGACACGCACCCCTCGGTGGTTCTTCTAAATTTTGAAAACATGGCTCCTCAGTCCTCATCTTTCCCAAATCAAGTCACACGCATAATAAAAAAAATGCATTAATACCAAAAATTTTATGGTTTTACAGCAACTTTGTACATTAATAAAACTTTAGAGCTACAACATGCTCCAATTCACCCATTCCAGGGAAATTAACAAACATAGCATATATGTATATATATATAGATAAACAAACAATTTAGATGTTTCAACATCCCCAAAACACATTGGTTACACAACAGAACCCAATGATCACAAAACAAAAATCCACTGATTACAAAACGGATTAGTCAAAACAAAACCATCCCATCGGTATTACCACCACTACCGCCCCTTGCTGGACCGCTGAAGTGGGTCATCCCCGAACATAAGATAACCTACGAGCTTACAAGCCACGGACAAGAACTACCGACGTGCCCCCTCTGTCCACACCTGGAACAACTACACATTTCCCCAACTGGGGCTTGGGAACTCGACTCTACTGAGGCCCTCACAATCTGGCCTGCTAGTCCCCCGAAACGATACTGTTCCTGCCCAGTCGAATGAAACTGAGCCTGGCTAGGTTGCGAAACCCCTAAAGAAGCTCCCGGCTGAGTACAGAAACGTCGAATATGACCCGGCTGATTACACCTCCAACAAGTAGGCGGTGCCTGAGCATGAGACTGGTTCAAAATCTGGGCTGATCAACAACTGCCTCCCCACGGAGCATTTGATCGGCCCAAAACCTGGCTGGTTAGATGATCCTGGTGGTACAACTATTGGTTGAACTGCTAACTCTGCCCCCTTCTTCTGTGGGCAAACCGAAACCTTGTGGCCCAGCAGACCACATCTGAAACAAATGACGCCCCTCTGCTTACTTTCTCCCGAATCCAAATCCGACACTGGAAGGGTAGTTCTAGCCCGACCTCCCTGTTGCGGGTTTAAAACTCTCTGCTTCTTAAAAGGCCTACCAACACCCTGAGTCACAGGAGTCGCCGAGATGGCTTCCTCCCCACT